CCCCAATCCTTATGCTCCTTGACACATTTTTCTTTATCTCATTTTAATACCTACATTATGACCCATGTACTATAATCATCCCCACTTTATAGATAAGAAAGCAAAGAGTTAGAGAGAATAAACATTTTGTTCCAAGGTAAATACTTACTGGTAGAGCTGAGATATAAATGCAGACTTAATTTTCCTTCCTCTCCATTGCCCATTTGAACTATTTGAAGTTTTAATATTTCCCACTAAAGCCTCATACCTCATCTTTAATACAGCCAACATATAGGCCCTGCCTGAGCTGATTATTTCATTTAAGTAGCAAAACACACATAAGAATCTTTTCATAAGTGAAAAACCTCAAAGTGAATGTTAAAAATTATAAAGTTTCTCTGAAATAAGACTTACCAACACCTTTTAATTCTCTAGTTCTTCTAGGCATTTACAACTCTAAAATCACATATTTAAAATCCAAAACTGTACTTGAGAATCAGATGATCTATTTATGCCATAAGGTACTTTTTTTCCTATTCCTTCATGGGGACATAGCTCCTGTGTGAATACACATGTTTTCGGATAGTTTATTTTGAAAGACCCAAATTGATCATAAAAAGGTTTCTCCAGCCCAGTCCACTATGCTAATTGGTCCTAAGTTATGAATCTCATGGCAGCTTTGATTCCCCACAGCTCTGTCATGCACTTGGGAAATGGAAAGCATTGCCTTAATTGAGGCGATCTGTTTTTCACAATAGAGAGCTGGTTTGACTTGTGGGTTCAGGAAAACAAGTAGTTGATACAATGTGTATCATATTCATGATTCATTTAAAGGAATCAGATTTGTGTGTGTTGAATTTATTTTCATTTTGTATAATAGTCATTATTATAATAATGACTATAATATAATAATATTATTATTATAATAATAGTCATATTATTATAATAGTAGTCATTATTATTATTATTTTATAGTTCTGGGGATCAAGCCCAGACTCACATGTGCTAGGCAAGTACTCCACTACTGAACTATATTCCTAGCCCTTTTTAATTTTTTTTTATTTTAAGATGGAATCTTTCTAATTTGCCCAAGCCACATTTCTCTCTCTCTCTCTCTCTCTCTCTCTCTCTCTTTCTTTTTGTCGTTGTTATACTGGGGATTTAACCTAGAAGCTCTCTATCACACTGAGCTACTTCCTCAGTATTTTTTCATTTTCTATTTTGACACAGGGTCTCACTAAGTTGCCCAGGACGACCTGAACTTGTGATCCTTTTGCCTCAGCTTCCTAGTCACTGGCTGTTTACTGCATTTCTTTAAAGAAAAAGCTGAGAGCTTTCATTGTTCCTTTAACTTTCTACTCCTCTGATTTAAGATTCCATGTTTTATTTTATTTTTTTTTAATTTTTTTAATTTGTTTAATCAGTTACACATGACAGTACAATGACTTTGATATATCATACATTTGAATCAGATGGGATATAATTTCTCATTTTTCTGAGTGTACAGGTTGCATGTTTTACATATTTTTGTTCATGGGGGTGGGCTTTCTAACTCAGACCCTATATTCTCTGAGGCCCAGAGCGAGTTCTTCTTCCACATTTCTTCCATATGTGTGGCTCTCTGCATGACTCTACACATGAAGAAGGAATGGATAGGCTATGGAGGGATTAGAATTTAGAGACACTCAGTTTAGCATGCCAGCCTTCTGGCAACTAGTCCTCTTTCTTCATCGGGGCTTACCCTCTCCCCTATTGCAAATGGCAACTCCACAGGTCAGGGTCAGGGCTGGTTTGTTTATACTGTGTGCTGACTGTTGAGCCTCCTATTTAGTAGGTTCTATGTGTGTGTGCGTGTGTGAGTGTGTGTGTGTGTCTAGGGGAGGGAAGAGGGGTGGAGGAGAAGAGAGAATAAATAAAATTTCACCAGGTGAAACACAGAAAAGAAAAACAGGCAAAAGGCTTGCCATCTAGGCAGCAATATTTGCTTCCTGTTGCCCCAGGCATGATGCTGACAACTCCTCAAGGTGTCTTAAGGTCCACACACAAAACCACATGCTGGTACTCCTCAGGAGGGCACTGAGGTGTTTTTCCGCAGTCTGTTGATAGATTTGACAACTGCAACAAGCATCTGAATCCCCACCCCCTGGATTAAAAGCAGCATATGAGAGCTATGATAGATGGCATTTGTGGACATGTGACAGCAATAAGTAGTGACATTCTCAGAAGGAAAGACATAAAACATACATAACAGGAAAAACAATATTAATATTTAAGTATCTGCTTTTGTGTGTGTGTTTCCAGTTTTTCCTTTTCTGTATATACGAGATTATTAGTGAAGGAGTAAAAAGAATAGACCAAGATAAAGGTAACTGAGATAAACATTGCCCAGACTCTACTTTGTATGTAAGCAATTTTTCTTTGGTGGGAGGTTGCTGGGAATTGAATCCAGGGTCCAATGCATACTAGATAAATACCCTATCACTGAGCTAAAGCCCCAGTCCCTAACCAGGCTATTTGAAAGGAGTTTGTGGTATTTTGAGAGTGGGTAAAGAAATTGCAAGAAAGTTTTCCTGAGGTGATGAATGCATTTCTCCTTTACATTTTGAAAGTCTTTTTATTTTTTATATAATTATAAATTCACATAATTTTGAGGACAGAGTACCAAAGAGTTCCCTATTCCCTCTGTTTTTCATTTTTGTCTGTTTGAAAGATGATTCTAGAGGGTTACATTGTTTGGATATTAGATTAGAGTTTTCTCTGACTGTGGAACTTTGCTGACTGGCCACATAAAGGTTCAGGTTCTTCATAAATCATATAAAAAGAAGATATATTCATCTTTAAATGTCAGCCTAAACATATTTAATGTGCACAAAGCAAGAAAAAAAAGATTCTGAGAAAATCTGTGTACTTCCAGTAATGATTGATATTAATTATTGTGATCATAAATCACAATTTATGATTTATGTTTAAGGAGGCAAAAAATATAAATCTATGGAATCTATAGCTAAATCTAGAAATAACCCAAATGTCCCTCAATAGAGAATCCATTACATAAGTTATAGTTCATTTATTCAGGTGGGACTCTAAGTACATATTAAAAGAAGTATATATACATACATACATATATATATATTACATATATATATGTAATTGTTTTAATATGTTTATATTCATGGGAAATTCTGAGGCATGGTATTTGATTTTTTAAAATACCATAAAATCACATAAATGCATACAGTGTTATATTAAAGCCTTAAAAAGGCTTTTTATGTGATTCACCCAGTACCTCCATGTTGCCAAATCCAATGGACATTTTTTTAAATCATTTTAGTTGCTTCAGAGTAGCAAGTAATATAGTTAATCACTCATTTTTCTTCAAATGGATTCTACTTTTGTTTTCTGTGACTCAAAATTCTCTGAGTTTTCCTCCTGGTTCTTACTTATCCTTCTCTTCTCTTCCACCTCTCTGAGCTCTGTGAATGGAGTGCTCTGTGGCCTGGTATCTAATTCTTTATCTTTGTCATTACTTTCTCACCAGGTGATCTCCTAGGGCCTCTTGGCTTTAGATAGCATTCAAATGCTAATCACTTGAAATTTATATCTCCAATGCTGGCCTTCTGCTTGGTCTTTGGCTCTGGATTGCTAATTTGACATTGACCCTGGATTTCTAGTAGATTTCCCAAACTTGAGATCTTCAAATGTCTCAAATCATATTCAGACCTGTTGCCCTTCAAAACCTCTTTCCCCATTCCAAACATCCCTACACAAAGTGGCTCTTGCCAATCTTTATGTCTTTCATATCTGAGTCAACGTTCTCCAATTTTGCTCTGGTCTAATCTCTTTGTCCTTCTTTTTAGTTCTTAGATATATCAAGTTCATCCTTAATTCAGGATGGCATTTGTTCTTCCCTCTTCCTAGAATGTCATTCCGATGTTCACATGTGTGATTCCTTTTTGACATTTAGATTTCAATTTCAAGAGGACTTTTCTGATCAGGAAAGTTATCTTTGTCCCTTAGTAGCTCTCCACTCTGTTTTATTTTATTCTTCATATATATATTTTATCATTTATTTCACCACTGGAATACAATCCCAATGAGAGCAGGGAACCTGTTTATACCATTAATAATTTTAGTCAAAATACCTTGGAAGAGATCTGGGAACATAATTAAATGTTCAATTAATATTTATGTTAAATAGTGGACTGTGCAAAAAAAAAAAAGTTAAAATTTGGAAAGATATATGTCAAACAGTTTACAGTGATTATTTCTGACTGGGAATAGTATGAGGTAAATTGTAAATGGATATTTACTTTCTACCAAGATACATTTCAGTTAATTTTAAATTATTTAAATTAAAACACATTACTATATGACTAGAAAAATTAATACACACTTTGATTATGAATAATGATGAAATTTGAAGCTGTGTTTATCTGGAAGATGCATTTATGTGGAACGCTTCTTTCCTGATGATGTTAGGTGAGTAACATGTTTCAATCTGTGTTAAATATCTATGCGTTTGTAAAAGCACTGAAACATGATGCAAGAAAAAGTGTCCACCCAGTTCTTTCCTTTGAACTTATTTGCTGCATCTTTCTGGAAAATCATTTAAATTAATTTCTTCCTCAGAAGGTAACAAATCAAATCACTTACTTGATAACTACCTTATGCTTGTTTTTCTTCAAATTATATTTTACAACTTAATTAGATTTGTTCTACTTGAATAGGTTTGATCTTTTTATAGAAATATCAAATTTGTAATCTTAGCTCTTGTCCCCAGGTCCTAATGTTAAGTCAACATCTGTTTGAAAGACCTTCAGCTTATCAAGTATTGCAGGTCTCTGATTGTTTTGGAACCTCTTCTGACATTATGGACTTAGTTCAAAGGTTAGTTAATACCCCCCTCTTTTTTCTTTTTCCTAATACGATGAACAAATGATTAATTGTTTGCTTTGGTCATTCAAGTTTAAGTTATTGGGTATAAAAAGAATAGCTTGAGTCTCTGTTCAGGGACCTCCTTATCTCTCAAATCATAGATTCTCCTTCTTTGGAGATTTTCATGAGGTTTGCAAAATGATAACCATATTTTTGACCTGGGGAATTGTTTTAACAATGTGCTGTTATTTATGGCTTATTTTTGGAATAAGGAGAAGGTAAGGAAAGTTTTTTGTTCTTTAAGTTATCTTTTAGTTCATTTATCTGATGTTCTTTTACTATACAATAAATTATTATACAATATAATAAATTTGGTTTTCTATACACAAATACTTCTTGATATTTTCACATTAAAATTTTAAGTGATATCTTTTTTTTTTTTACTAAATCTAACAAAATATATTATAACAGTTTCCCTTTTTAGTATTGACACATACCAGTGGTAATATATATATATATATATATATATATATATATATATATATATATACTTGTTAAACACAACTGAAAGAAAATTTGTAAGATCTTTGTGTGTGTTCAGGTGTACATGTACAGAGCAAGCCCAAGGGACACATGTGGCATTTGGAAATCTGCAATGGAAAGGGTTTCTTTCTATCGCAAGGATTAGACAGGGACTCTGACTAAATAAGTGTTGTCTTTTCAGCTCGTTTTTGTGCACAGACTCAGCCAAAGCCTGGGCAAGAACGTAGAGCCCTAGTTAATCATTCTATTACTCTTTTTTTTTTATGTCAATCAACCATGGTGATTGGGAAACTGTTAAATGTGTATATAACATACTTCATTTGTATGTTATCACTGACTTACAATTGATTCAAGAAATATAAATCCAGAGCCATACTCTACTTAACTTCTGAATGGTTCAAAGAGCAGTTAGGGGGAAGGCACGTAGATATTTTCTGTTAAGTCAATCTCAAGACGAGAATAACCTCCAGCAGATCTTCAGCTCTGTGGACTGCTATGTGTTGTCTGYCTTCTGCAAGTTTCTTCATTCTTTGAGGTACTTTAATCCAGTCCTGTTCATTTCCAGTTTCAATCAAATTACTCACCTTCACAATAAGAAAATGCCACTTCCTATTCTGTTATCCTCTGAAGGAGAGTAGTTTATGCTGGAAGACAATAAGTTTACATTTTCTAGTAAAAACATTTAAGATAGCATGACAGAGCATGGCATTACAGTTAATGATCCAATAATGACAAACGAGAAATTAGATGGATGACTTTAGTAATCATTTTCAACAATGTATCATGTGGTGACTAGGTTAATAAAATGTTCTATTTTAGTAAAAGAGCAGGGCCCCATCAACAAAAGAAGTACCTATAAACTGCAGAATTTTGAAATTCAGAGATAGAATCTTGAAATTTCAGAGGTAGAAATCTGAAAACCTGGCATATAAAAGTAACCAAAATATGTAATTTTCCATATCTGTCATACATTTGTGTCTTTCAGGAGAATGGGTGAACCACCTCTGGAGAATGGGTTGATTCCATACCTAGGCTGTGCTCTGAAATTTGGGGCCAATCCTCTTGAGTTCCTCAGAGCAAATCAAAGGAAACATGGTCATGTTTTTACCTGTAAACTAATGGGAAAATATGTCCACTTCATTACCAATTCCTTGTCATACCATAAGGTGTTGTGCCATGGAAAGTATTTTGATTGGAAAAAGTTTCACTTTACTACTTCTGCAAAGGTAACCTATTTTGCATTTATACAGCATTCTGTTTATTTCCTATTTATTAATATATATGCCTATTTAGTAAGTTTGTTGTTTTTAGATTGCTGGATAGAGGTGTTAGAGAATTACCCTATTGTAGAGATTATTAGAAAAAAATACATCAAATTAGTTACAGCCTCTTAGTATTACCTATTAAAAAAAATCAAACTAGATATATATATTTGACATTTGTTAACTAGATACTGAAAATGAAATAATAATTAAATGTTTTACTGAGGCAGATGGCACTGTTTCAATAAGACAGGTACAAACTCATCACATCAGTGATGTCTATATAACATGCAGAATACATGTGATGGAAAACTTCACATCCAACAGTTGCTTTGCCATATTCACACCACACATTCCATTTTGTTAAGAAACTCAACAGATATTTAAGCATCATTTAGATGTTACCTAAGAAAGTGTTATAGAGGAAAAAAAATCAATACTTACTGCAAGAGATATTAGACAGTCTTTGCCACTAAGTAGCTCGAGGTGTGATTAAACTGCATCTACAAAGATATAACCAAGAATGAATAATGGAAACAATATTGATTAGTATCAAATTAGCCAGCAAATAAGTTCAGCAATAAGAAATAGATAACTGGGGTGGTCTGGAGTACTCTCCCTGAAGAACTGAGATTTAAACTTAGCCTTAAAAGGAACAATATGATTTAGTCATTTCTTTGCAGAGTACTATCAAATTGTATTTGGGGAGGTCAAGTAAAGAAGTATGAAAGCATCCAATGTATTTCTAAGTCATTCACTGACACGTGGTGAGTTTTTGTTAATTTTTTTCACGTTTTATTTCTTGTCAGGCTTTTGGGCACAGAAGCATTGATCCAAGTGATGGAAATACCACTGAAAACATAAACGACACTTTCATCAAAACCCTGCAGGGTCATGCCTTGAATTCCCTCACAGAAACCATGATGGAAAACCTCCAACTTATCCTGAGACCTCCATTCCTTCTTAAATCAAAGAGCACTGAGTGGGTGACGGAAGGGATGTACTCCTTCTGCTACCGAGTGATGTTTGAAGCTGGGTATTTAACTCTGTTTGGCAGAGATCTTACAAGTCAAGATGCACAAAGTGCCCTTATTCTAGAAAACCTTGACAACTTCAAGCAATTTGACAAAGTCTTTCCAGCCCTGGCAGCAGGCCTCCCCATTCATGTGTTCAAGACGGCTTACCAAGCCCGGGAAAAACTGGCCGAGGGCTTGAGGCACGAGAACCTTCACAAGAGGGACCAGGTCTCAGAACTGATCCGCCTGCGCATGTTTTTGAATGACACACTCTCCACCTTTGATGACCTGGAGAAAGCCAAAACCCACCTCGCCATCCTCTGGGCATCACAAGCAAACACCATTCCAGCGACTTTCTGGAGCTTATTTCAAATGATCAGGTGACTAGCCACTTACCTACTTATTTTCATATTCTGGTAGAAAGCCCAACTTCAACCATTTCACCTTTGGAGAAAAAGAAGCTTCGTAGTACCTTCTCATGCCGCCAATCAAGAATATAACTTAATGCTTGTAAGTGTTTAACACATACAAGCTCCTTCAATGCTCCCAAAATCGTGAASGGCAATTTGTAGAAGCAATTTCAAAGAAAGGGATGTCACTGAAGCCACAGGCCTCAGGTTGGCTGGCCCTGGGTCAATTCAGGCCACTGGCCCAGAGTCCTTGCTTTTAATCCCACGCTGTTGCTCATGACACTAACTTTAAGTCCACAAGTGCAGTCTTCATCATCCTAAGACTATATTTAAATGATTACTGACTGACATGGCTGCATCTTATTTTGCTGACTTTTTATTTGACCATAATAAGTTCACATATTTACAGTAAGTTTACAATACCAGTTTAATATCAATATATAGGTGATGATAACCATACTTTATCATCTTCACACAAATACTTTTCATTCAAACTTTTCTGAAACTCATTTCACTTTAACTATGTAACATAGAACCCCAAGCTCACTGAGGCTCCAACAAAATTCCATGCACTAAAATGAACCAGGCTTCACTTCACGTTCCAAAATTATGATGTAAATGAAAATGCCRAAATTTTGAGGTAAATTCAAATTTTCATCTGGAATGCCACCAAAACTCTGTCATTGTTATCTTAGAGGCAATTTTTCTTCTAAATTGCTGTTTATTCCTTATTAAAATTATTTATTTATAGAGAACTGACCCAAGTTTTACTCTGATGTAACAAGGCCCTTTTAAGGCACAATTCCTGCCAAGATCCTAGGGCATCAACATAATTATAAATACGGTACAAATAAATGGGAGTATTCCTTTTCTACTGTCTCTGGTACCTTGATCACCTCATTGAAAGAAGAGGAAAATGTCTATTTGATTGCAGATCTCCGAGTATAAAAAAAAATTATTTTCTGTGTGTTTTTATTTTATCTTGATTTTTAATAGGAATCCTGAAGCAAGGAAAGCAGCTACCGAAGAAGTGAATAAAGCACTGGAAAAGGCTGGTCAAAGAATCAGTTTTGAAGGCGATCCTATTTATTTGAATCAAATGCAACTAAATGACCTGCCAGTCCTAGGTGTGCTTGCTACTCTACATTCCTTCTACTGTGTCCTAACAGTCGACATATATCAGGCCCTTAACTGAGTTCTAGACATTATGCTAAATAATTTTATATGATTTGGCTCTTTTAATCCTCATCACTATCCTATAATTAGACATTATTGCTATTTCTATAAACCAAGAGAGGAAACTGATAACTAGAGGCTGAGCCCAGTGAAGGTGGAATGTGGGGAGCTTTGCCTGGCAGCACTAATGGGTGACTGTTCGTAGCATACTCTCAATCACCACCCTATAATCCTGTAGCTCTCATTATTCCTTTTACTGCTAATCTTACAGTTAGAGCAATCATGTCACTCCTTTGCATGAAATAACAGGGGACAAAGTGCCTTCAAAAAAACCCATAATTAACTAGATGGCTTGAGTAGTGGTGTTGAAGGCTATTTGATTTTTCTTCTTTTTGTCCTTCTGTATTCTATAGAAATACAAAAGTGCTATGTGTTTATAGTAAGAATGATCTTTAAAAATGTTTTTCAAAAAAGGAAAGAAACCAAGATATGCTTTGAGGGGCAGTTTACCAGAAGGGAGAAGAAGAAAAGCTTAGGTTGACCTCTGCCTAACCTGGGAGGTTTAACATGTCATTTCTCTTTTGGGAGCCTTCCTTTTCTCATTAGTTAAAAAAAAAAAAAAAGTTGACCTTGTGTGATTTTACACATAGTCATGTGATGAACCCCTACAACATGACAGTGAGGGAACTGGAGGCCAGGCTGGACTTTTCCTGAGAACTCTGTATTTTAGCTATTCTCAAGGTGGTTCTGTGTATCCCTTTTATGCCTTCGTTCAGCAATAGAGCATCACCATATACTATCAAATAGTTTCTGGATAAAAAAGATTTCTTGTAACCTGATTAATAGGGCAAGAAACATCTGGAAAAACATTTCTATGTAAAAAATATTATCAGTCTCTTAAATCTCAAAAAGTGGAAAACTTTGAATAAAAGTATAAAATTGGTTATTAATTTTCCCAATTGTATTATCTGTTAAGTGTCACATAAAATCAAGATTACTTTTCTTAAAAATGATAGAAATGTAGTCCCACTAATGACCAAGAAAGTTGTATCTTTGTAAAAAATTAATTCGGATGATTGGATCAAAAATATATTCAGACATAAGTGAGTCATTGATAATAGCCTAGTAGAGACAGAAAGAGAGCGTGGGAAGTTTTTCTCTGGTCAGCCTTCCATGTTTTGTTCATTTTCATGTTGTTGGATGTCAGAAGTGTTTCAAACTCTGTATTAATGGGTTTCCAATACTCAGATGGTTCTCTTTTTCGTTCTCCTTTTGTCCCTTTCTTTCTTTTAAAATATTTAGATAGCATCATCAAAGAAGCTCTGAGGCTTTCCAGTGCCTCCCTGAACATTCGGACAGCTAAGGAGGATTTCACTTTGCACCTGGAGGAAGGTTCCTATAACATCAGAAAAGATGACATCATTGCTCTTTACCCACAATTAATGCATTTAGATCCAGAAATCTACCCAGATCCTTTGGTAAGTGACTGTTCATCAAAGTTCAGTATCAAAGGTAGCTCTCCTATCTAAATAGGAAGGGCATTTACAATTAGATCATAGGGATTATCCCCTTAATTATATCAAGTAGTCATATTTTGGAAAATCTGGATAGTAGCGTAGATTTCTGATTTTTTCCCAGATATTTGTTATGCTAGACTATATTTGCAGTAATGATAATAAAGCTGGCTCCTTTCTTTTATCTTAAAATATATTTCCTCCTAAATCCACAAAATTAGAGGTTAATGTGTATATTTGTGTGTGTGTGTRTRTRTATRTGTGTGTGTGTGTGTGTGTGTGTGTGTGTGTGCATCCCCAATTTGAAAGCTTCCTACTGGTTCTGCCTGACAGAGGAGCTAGTCCCCAGGGAGGTACCATAAAGCTTTCTTGGTCCATCAGTTCTCATTAAGTTCCTGTCCCTTATTACTCTCAGTGAGTAGGGTATTTGCTAAATCACTAATGGATTGAATTAATAAAGAAAATTACTCTTTGGAGCTTCCAGGTCAAGAAAGAGATATGTTTATAAGTGCTACGTGTTTATGTGCTTGCTTTCTTTGTATTTTTGTTGCAGACTTTTAAATATGATCGATATCTTGATGAAAATCRGAAGACAAAGACCACCTTCTACAGCAATGGTGTCAAGTTAAAGTATTACTACATGCCCTTTGGATCAGGAGCTACAATATGCCCTGGAAGATTATTTGCTGTCCAAGAAATCAAGCAATTTCTGATTCTGATGCTTTTATATTTTGAAATAGAGCTTGTGGAGAGCCATGTTAAATGTCCCCCTTTGGACCAGTCCCGTGCAGGCCTTGGTATTTTACCACCATTAAATGATATTGATTTTAAATATAAACTTAAATATTTGTGAATATGTGGTCGGGAAAAGAGTACATTAGATGATGTTATAGGACTGCCTAGCACTGTCATTGAAAACACCTTTTGGACAAAAACATTTAGGGGTGATGGAAGTTGTTTAGCACGTCCAGTCTGGTTCCARATGCCATCTCACACAGTTGCTAGTGAAAAGTCTAGAAGCACAATAAGATTTTCTCACTGGGATAAATCAATGGATGTTCATAAAGCTGGGGACTGAATTTCATTACCTTCAGAGGAAAATACTTTTTTTTCCCTCAAAATGATGATATTTTAATTGGCAGAATTTTTTTCCTAAGGAAATTGCTTCATTTTTTAAAAAAACCACTCACTAATTATGAAAAAAAGAGTCATATTCACGTTTTAGTGAAATGGCATTATTTTTTGACTAGATAGTGAGGTTCTTCAGGTGTGAGCATATGATATAAAGGGTACTTTAAATGATTATATCATGCTTTTTAATAAAAATAATTTTTTTCAGCTTTCTGTATGTCCAGCGTTATCTCTACATTCAGGGTTTTTGAAATGATGATATTGGTGTCCTGTAAACACTAAGGGTAGTTTTGATATTCTTCCTTTATGTTTTAACTTATTGTTAGTGGAAACTGTTATGCCAAGTTTCAACTCTCTTCTCTGCACCTTTATTTGATTCCATATGAATGAGAAGAATCATTTTCAGAGATTAAAAAGGCACTTTTTCTGTTATTACTAAATATGTATCTGTGAAAAGGATGAAGATCCTATGTGATACATTTAAAAATGAAAAATGGATGGAAGTCACTATTTTAAAGCTTTGACTATGAAACATGCAGAGTTCATTAAGTGAAGTTTGACATTATGCTTTACATACTTTTTATCTCTTAAGGACCTGCAGTTGAGAAATTTAAGGCCATATGATAGTGTTTAAATATACTGTGTACATTAGCTCTTTGGTAAGCTATTTTAACTGTTAAAGGTAACAGTTATTCCATTTTATTGATATTTGCATATATATTTATATGTAAATTATATTTATCTTTACTTTCACTATGAATATTAAGAAAATATTGTAACATTTGGTGATTTTGAATTATTCATTTTTCAGAAATAAAAATATGAATGTGTATGTTTTAAAGTATTCAGAATGTTTAAAACATCTACTAGTAAGCTACAAAATTTATATTTCAGAAATCATTCAAAATATTTGTGTTTTCAAGTATTTAAAAAAATAGTCAAAGTAATAATCTACACAAAAATCTTCCTCATTCTACATAAAATTCATTAAATTTTTTTTTGTGTGTCATGATGGGGATTGAAGCTAGGGCCTCATACATGCTAGGCAAGCATTCTATCACTGAACTGCATTCCCAGCTTTCACTAAAAAAGTTTCAGTCCTGTTATTTAATATTACTACAGAATTATGTATTTAATAAATTATTTTTTTATACCAATAAAAGTACATTTGTTTAGACGAGGTTCAAGATTAACACAATTCTGTTTTATAAAAAACTGTTTTAAACAGTATTTTGAATGTGGTTTCCTATTTCATTTAATGACTTTTTGAATACATGAATTGTCTTTCCACACATTTATTCTTGTCAATAGGGTTGGCAATTGATAGCCCACAAACCAAAGGTGCTGCTTCCCTGCTTTTGTATAGCCTGGAAGCTATGAAAGGTTTTTACATCTTTAAATAGTTAAAAAAAAATCAAAAAAAGAAGAAGAGTATTTTATGGCATGTGGGAAATCTATGAAAAGCAGATTTGCACATCCATAGTAAAGTTTTATTGAATGTAGAATGCCCATTTGTTTGCATGATTGTCTATGGCCTGCTCTTGCCATGCAATTGCAGAACTCCATAACTGAACTAGAGACCATGTGGTCACAGATCCTAAAATATTTAAAATGTGGTCCTTCATAAAAAATGGTTGCCAAAACTCGTTGTACGGCAATCCCCAAACCTGTTTTTATTATAATTTTATTAAAATTTTAAAAAATGCACAAGTATATGAATTTTGTAAAGTGCATGAGCAGAATACATTTAAAAAGTTATGGATGTAATTTTACTTAAAAAAAACCCTTATTTTTAGACCTTATTGATGAGTGCTAAATTATTACATGTAGGAAAAATATCTTTATCTGAAAGTTACATAAGTTAAAAACAAAATCGCAGTAACCTATGGTAATCCATATGTAGACTTGGCATGTCACAACCATCATGCTGCACCCTCCTCTGAGGCTCATGTTACTTTTACCAGTATATTACAGAGGAGAAAAGGGGACACAGGAAAGGTAAGTCACTGGCCCAAGGTCGCCATACTGTGACAAGTGAAAGCGCTGGGAGTATATGAACCCAGGCTGTTGGAACTCAGAGCCCAAGCCTTTTTCACTTTGTAGTATGTCTAAGTGACGGAGCATCTTGACTAGGGTCATTAGAAAAATAAATCACAGCAAACAAAATCTATAGTGTCAATTCTGTTCCACTGTTAGGGGAACATACTGCAGCCAGGGCTCAGTCAGTTCAACTGGCCAGGAAGGAGACCTAGTATACTAACACATCTTCCACTGTGCTCACCTTCAGACAGAAAGGACTCTTCAACTCACCAACAACTCAGAGCTTTTCATCATGCAATCCGGTGTCCTTTTAGGATAGGTTTATACATTTTTGAGACAGTGGGAGTAAGGTTTTGGCCTTGGTCTCATTAACAGATAATTAATACAGCTTCTCTCCAGTGCCTTTTCTGCAACATGTTGGTTGATACCAATTCAGATGCCCAGACCTATGACAAGCATGAGGCAAAGACATAGCGCAGATGCATCTTAGACCACAATATTCAAAGTCACCTAGTTTAAGCTCTAATTTTAGTTAGAAACTGACACTCAAGGAAAGAAAATGGATTTTTGCACAACAAATTTTAGTGCAGACCTGGGTCTGGAAGTCTGATGTTTGCAAATCAAATACTATTAACTAAATTAACCAACAAATATTCAACATTATGAACCTTATCTTCCAAAACACAGTCATTAGATTTCATAGGCTTAACAAAATATAAAACTACATATGAAAAATATGAATAAGATAAATTGAAAATGAAAAATACTTTTATTCATAAATTTTGACTTTCTATATTTATGCAAACTCCCTATTTTTTTCTTTCTTTTCTCTTTTCAATTTTTATTTTTTATTTTTTTCTGTGCTAGGGACCAAACCCAGGGTCTTGTGTTTGACAGGCAAGCACTATACCACTGAGCTTCATTCTCAACCTCTCTCATTTTTAATTTTAAAACGTGTGCATTCTCAGCTCAATTTTGTAGAACCATTTCTCACTGAAAGTTTCCCAGCAATCGGCAGCAAAGTTAATTAGAGTATAAAGTTAACAAAATTTCTACCATAATTTATGATAGATTAAAAGAATGACAGTGTTGAGAATTATAAATGTTTCAAAATTAGAGGGGAGATCAATGGAGTAGAGGAAGGGAATTGAGAGGAAGGGGAAAGGAATGGGAAAAGGGAAAAATTAAGGATTGAAATTGACATAATTATAATATATATATATATATATGAATATACCACTGTGAATTTCATCTTTATGTGTATCTATAGAGCATGAAAAAAACAGTAAATAAATAGAAAGAAGACTACTAGATTGAGGGAAGGGGAATTGAGAGAGGGAGGAAGAAAGGATAATAGGAAGCACTGAGGACTGAAATGGAGCAAATTACATTCCATGTGTGTGTAATTATGTCAAAATGAACCCTTCTGTTAGATATAGCTATAATGAATTAACAAAAGCTTTTTCTTTTTCTTTTTCTTTTCTTTTGTGCTAGGGATTGAACCTAGGTACACTTAACCACTGAGCACAACCCTAACCCTTTTTAATTCACGGACAGGGTCTCAATGAGTTGCTTAGTGCCTGGCTTTTGCTGAGGCTGGCTTCGAATGAATTTACAGTGTCCTGATGCTGGGATTACCAGTATGCACCACCTCGCCTGGCTAAACATTTTTAAAAAGAATTATGAGTACTAGTTTTTTGTTTGTTTGTTTATTTGTTTATAAGTGTGTGAGAGAGTTTGGGGAAGAATAGAGGGATTTAGAGGGGGAGGGATGATTCCCTCCCCCACTTGCTCTTTGGCAAAATTAACCTGGAGAAAAAGATCACAGGAACTCCCTACTTTAATGTAGATTTTCCAGTTTTTGTTGTTGTTTTGCAAAATTTACTTTTACTCAGAAAGATGGTTTTAAAAGTGATTTTAGTGAGGGGTTTCATTTATAAATTATTGTCAAGTTTTCACTTTGAGGTTTTTAATTTCTGACTTCTCTAACTCTTTAGAGAAGAACAAGGGATGGGGGGGCCTAAGAGGGAATTGGTATGATTTTGATTGTATTCTTCCCAACTGCTACCAACTTGTTAGCTAAATGTAAACCATGTTTTTAAACATTTCTGGTAAGGGGGGAAAAAAACAGTAGAATTAACTTAAATTCTGCTGAAAACAGAACCTGTTGCTTTAAACATGAAAATATGTATACATAGAGAAATATGCACAGGAAAATACTTTTTGTTCAAGGTTTTTCTTAGAATATGTGGGTGAGAAGACGGCTGAGGAAAAGATTGGGGAACACAGTGGCAATTGTCCTGAAATGCCTGGTCCTCTAGGTAACCCTGTGTATGCCACGGGCCATTTGGATGTTCCGGGAACACTTTGGCCACCAAAACATGACAGGCAGAGGCAGCAGTTTCTTAGAAATCCTTGTTAAGTGCCTTTACATCATCCATTTTTGTAGAATGTTTCCAAAGAATGCCAGTTCGCTAAGGAAAATAAAATCATATTTTATTTAACCAGACAGCCCACCAAAGCTCGTAATGAGTGTCTTACACACAGCAGAAGCTTAAACAGTTGAAGATAGAAAGGTAATAAGTGAATAATTTATGTGGAGGCGTTTTGAACTCTGCTTTTCTCCATAGTCCAAGCTCCATCAAGTTGCAAACGCCTTGTTTGGTTGTTTTACTAGGAGACCTTTCTGCTTCTCTATTGATCTCCCACCTTACTAAAATATTGGGAAAGAGTTACACGCAGCACTGAGAACACAGCTTACATGTGCTCAGGCCCACATTGCCTGATGAGGCAGATTGACTATTTGTT